TTCGTGCCCTGGATGTGCATCCCACAAATCTCCATCAACTGCAAGATGCTATCCTATCAATATGGGCCAACATTTCTAAAGAATGCTTTCAGCACCTTGTTGAATCAATGCCACATAGAATTAAGGCAGTTCTGAAGGCGAAAGGGGGTCAAACACCGTATTAGTATGGTGTTCCTAATAATCCTTTAGGTGAGTGTATATGTGGACTAATGAATGTTAAATTTTACATATTCAATTCATTCAACAACAGTACATTTCACCAATTTATTCAACTATTTTACTAAAACAAATACCTTGATGAAATACCTTTCCCAGTTTTACAAAAGACAATATTAGAAATAGTTGTTCCTAATTCCTATTCTGCCTGTGCTTATGAAGTTTAGAAATGAGAGATTTAAGACATTTGCTATTGCTATTTCTCTAATTTACTCTAATTTAAAACTTAATTTCAGTACTTCCTAGGTACAATTTCTGAAGTACCAGTATTTCATTGTGAGTGGGATGCAAAATCTTATCTTATGGGACCAATCAGATACTTTAAGGCACCTGAATCTTTTGCAGAGAATTGCTGCCATTACAGTATGTTTCATTGAATTTATTGGAGTATTAATATTATAGTACTATTATAATATGGAGCATAATATTATAGTACTGTTTCATTTGCACCCTTTGACTTCAGATAGGCTCAAGACGTTCCCTTAATATAACATCCACTAATAACTTATTAGTTTGAAAGACACAAGTTGTTTACCTTTTTAAAATTGCTTTTTAATGTTTTCTTCAGATTCTATGTTCCCATTTATCTAAATCTTATTTGGTTTGGGTTTTAGGCTGAACAAGAGATAAAAATGATGAAGATGGAGCAGCATATGCAAGATGTGGAATTAAAACTGCACAATATTAAACTACTTATGCAGGAAAAGGTCTTTCAATTGAATACCCAGGTAGGACCATGCGGGTTAGTAGCAATAGAATCTGCGATCTGTTACTGTTCCTCGATCTGTTACTCTGATACTGTTAGCATTATTTGTACACAGACCCAGTGCCCATTTCCAGCACAAGATGTTTTTCAGCATTTTGATAAGCAATTTGCCAATGTTGTATTATAATTTTTATAGAAAATAATTTTGCTATTCCTTTCCTTTCTCTGCAGCTACCAAGGAATAATACAGCTGATATGATAAAGGACCTGGACATTGAAAAGACTCAGCTGCTAAAGATGACTGAGCAGCAGAAGAAAGTGGATAAGAAGAACTACCTGCTGCAAGAAAATATCTCATATCTCAAAAAGATTGTGTATAACCTTAACCCCTCCCCCCATCTGCAGGGCAATACCACCGTTCCTGTACTTGACATGAAATCATAATCACATTCAAAAAAAAAAAAAACTGTGATACAGTCCCTTACATTTCTTCATGGGCATAAATTATCGGGGGGTTGTAGCCCCCCCCAATAAATCAAAACCAGCTAATACAACCCCCCCAATAATCATGTTTCCTCCGTAATAGGTGGAGACCTCAACCCCCCAATGTTCCAGCCAAAGTTACGCCCTTGCATTTCTTCCACCATAACCATGATAGAGCTTCTGTGATAGGATAATCATTAGAAACTAGCAGGTGTTTTTGTTGCATTCATTTATGTTGCACCCGTGTGTCCATCCACTACACAGTGGTCACCAACCAATTAGTCAGGTCAATCTTTTAGACATTGTGACAATCAGACTGTCAGCTTCACAATGCAGTATTAGTTTGCATGCTTCACTATACATCATAAGGTCAACAGGAACTTCAATAGCACACAGAGGTCGCATGAATACAGTGGTTGCCAACACATCAACCATGAGCAGCTAGTAGCCTACAAGGAGAATATGTCTTGGATGATGAGTGCCACACTGGCATGGCACTCTGCAGAGTGGATAGGAAGAGATACACCTTTTACACCTTCCTTAGCTGGTCGACAGTTTTTACTTTTGCCTCTTCATCCAGAAGGGTGTTGGTCGTCAACTTTTACAAAGGACATGCTACAGAATAAGAGCTCCAACGCCTTCT